CCCCCTCCCCGCTCCATTTCCGTTGCAGACTAATCAGGATAGGGGAGAATCTGTGGCGACTCTCAAAATGTGTTGTGGTGTCATTCACGCCCACCTCCACCCCAGGGGACAGGGAGGCAATTGCGTTCTTATACTGACCTGCAAGGATCCACAGGATCTTTCTCCCTTTCCTCACCTTGGTTTGTGCCGCGCCCAAAAGACCAAGATTCCTGCAGACAGACAGGCGTGCCTGGTGAACGGCCTAGTATCTGCATCACGGGCGACTCGCATGATTCCAGGCCTCGTTCTTCTAAAGTTTCCCTCGTCCTAGTCCGCGCTCCCAGACTCCGTTCTCCGAAGGCAACCCCTTCCCCTCCCCCACCCACCTCCACCCCATTTCCCTACAGGGAGTAGGAGAAGTTATTTCCAAATTGCCCCTACATTTCTAGAGGAAAGCTCACTTGATTACCCCCACCTCCACCTCCCGCCTTTTATACCCTTCCGACCAAAACAGCCCAAAATTTCCTGCCCCAAGGGGGAGTTTGGCAAAGCAGTCGTGTAGGGAACGTAATACCGACTCAATTCCTTTCTTTTCCCTGCTTCCGACCCCAGGGACCCTCCAGCACCCACCTTCAACAACCTGAAGGGATCCGGGCCACTTGACTGCTCCGGCAACAAGAAGCTGCGACGGGGAAGCAGGCCCAGGACTAGAAGGACTTCTGCACACGTCGACTCCTGGTCACGTGAGGGTCACGTCATCAGCCAGCTCGCCTCGCCAGCGGCTCCTCCCATTAGCGCTGCAGTCCGCCCCCTGCATTCCCTCCACTCGATGCTGTCAATCTTTCGCAGCCGCGCGTCAGAAACCTGGGGCGCAGGGGGTGCTGCGCTGAATGCGTGGGCTGCTGACCAGGAAGTTGCTGTGGTTCCAATCCACTACCTGCTGGGCCTAGAGCTACATAGCTTCTGAAAACCCTGGGAAACAGTTCTGCTTTGCCCCGGATTTAAAGACAATAAGACAACCCCACCCCTCCCTCCTCCTTTTCTGGGATTACCAGGAAGAAACAGCCTCTTGGGAATTAACAGCTAGAAACAGGAGTTAAACTACCTTTTCTCCTTTTTTAGGGAAGCATGTCTGCCTTTATGCTGTTCCCAATAGCCCGCTGTCACTCCCCTGGAGTCCCAACCCGCATTTGAATGGGCGAGAGGTGAAGTTGGAAGGACCTGGAAAGGGAACTCCAAAAAACCAAACTCCCTGCCCTTGATTCTGACTCATAACGACCCTATAGGACAGGATAGAACTGCCCTTATCCTGCCGTGGGTTCTCGAAACTGTCAATATGAGAGTTGAAAGCCTCATCTTCCTCCCCTGGGGCAGCTAGTGGTGTGGAATTGAAGAGGCCTGCCGACCTGAGCCCCCATAGCAAAAAGTAGGAAACTAGGAGTGAGAGAAAGAAGGATGTTTTGTTTGTTTGTTTTTTAACGAATCATCTTGAATAGTTTACTGGCTTTGTTCTATGTTTCAAACCACCAGTATAATTTGAAACAACTGACATTTTTTTTTAAGTTGTCCCTCATATCTATCTAATACTTAAATGCTTGGAGGATGGAGGACAAATTTATTCTATTGATTTTTTTACAGTTGGAAACGTTTTTTAAATATATGTTTGAAATAAGCTTGTATTTCATTAAAGACTCCATGTCCATTTCAGTTTAAAAAGTTGCCTTTTCTTTAAGCTGTTCAGTATTTAAGTCCCATGGGTAAGGAATCTGGAGCGAGTTTGTTGTTGTTTTTATATATAGTTATATATATAGTTATATTTTTATATAGTTACACAGCCCATCTCAGCAAATGATATCAGCAACAATATTCCCCTGTTAAACACCCCATTAATATGACTCTTTCTACACCCCCATCCTTCCTCCCTCCCTCCTCAATGTTCTATTCCTCTCTGCTCCTTATTCCCCATCCCTGCCCTTGGCCTCCTCTTAATCATCAAAGTCCTGTCTTTTGTTGTTAAAACCATGTTTCTTTTTCTTGGTTTTTCCTTGTAATAATGAGATTATTAAATATTTAGCTTTGGAAGATTGACTAACTTAGCTAAACACAATGTTCCCTAGTTTTGTCCATGCCTTGTGGTGTTTAAAAGAATTGCCCTTGGTTTTTATTGGTGGAAATGTTTTCTAATGGTTGAACCAACTTGAATGACAGTATTCCCAAGAGATTGATGTATTTGAATACAGTTATAGATATTTAAAATATCGTCTTTCAAAGTGACTTCCAAATGAATTCTTTGAAAGAGACCAGACTTTCTCTTCTTAGTAATTTTATAAAAGTAACACGCTACTTTCTGTCTTTCTGTATGAACTCAAGTTATCAACTGCTTAGTGTCTGTCCTTTTCATTGATGACTTACTGAATAGCTCCATTTGCATAGACCTCATTCCCTTATATGCTTTGTAGACTACAGTGTCGTATCAAGCAAATAAAACCATAGCAAAGCCTCTTTTTCAGAGTAAAATTTGTTTGAACTCAGAGAAAGATGTTTGTTGGAAAATAGTTCTCAGAAACTCATGAAACATCCACAAGGAGGAAAATTCACTTTATTTCACAATTGCTGGTAGAATTTTGATTGACTTATGGTACTTTTGAGGTACACTGGTATTGTTTCATTATGTTCCATTAAAAACATTTTGCTATATATATTTTTTGTGATAGCACAGCAGAAAACGAATCACTGTTGTAAACACCACACACACACACACATATAACTCTACAGCTCAGAATCCACTCGTACTTGGAGGTGTGGTGGTACCTGGAATGGCAATCTGGCCTCTAGAGTCAGGATATTCCGAGGAAGGAAACAGGGTGTCTTTTGTCTAGAATATTCACACCAGTATGCATTGGTCAAAAATAGAACCTACCAAGGAGAAGGAAGAGTTGGGGGGAAAATGTGCTGGCTTTTGAAAACCAAAGACCCATTGCCATTGAGTCAATGTGATTCATAGCAGCCCTATAAAGTGTTTCTGAGGCTGTAGATATTTACAGGTGCCAACAGCCTCATCTTTCTCTTGCAGAGTAGCGCTGTTTGAACCACTGACTTTGTGGTTAGCAGTCCAACAGCTTATAGTTTTATAATATAAAATCAGCCATAAAGAATTTATCCTACAGCTAAGGAATAAACTATTAGTTGAGGAAGAGTTTTAATATAAATATGTTGTTGGTTATTGTTGTTAGGTGCCATCAAGTCAATTCCAACCCACAGTGATGCCATGCACAACAGAACAAAACACTGTCTGGTCTTGCGCCGTCTTCAAAGCTGTTCCTCTGCCTAAGTCCATTGTGGCAACCACGGTGTCAATCCATCTCCTTGAGGGCCTTCCTCTTTTTCGCTGCCCCTCTACCAAACATGATGTCCTTCTCCTAGTACTAGTCTCTCTTGACAACACGGTTCAAAGTATGCAAGACAAAGCCTCGCCATCCGTGCTTCTAAGGAACACTCTGGCCTTACTTCTTCCAAGACAGATTGCTTTGTCTTTGTAGGATTCCATGGTACTTTCAATATTCTTCTCCAGCACCACAATCCAAATGCATTGATGCTACATTGATCTTCCCTATTCAATCAATGTCCAACTTTCACATGCATATGAGGCAATTAAAAATATCATGGCTTGGGTCAAGCACACCTTAGACCTCAAAGTAACATCCTTGCTTTTCAGTACTCTAAAGATTGCTTATGGAGAAGCTTTACCTAAGCCAACACATCTTGTGAACTTTTGAGTGCTGCTTTCATGAGCATTGATTGTGGATCCAAGTAAGACAAAATCCTTGACAACTTCAGCCATTTCTCTATCTATCAGGTCCAATTGTGAAGATTTTGGTCTTATTTACAGAGTTGTAATCCATATTGAAGGCTACAATCCTTGATCTTCATCAGCAAGTGCTTCAAGTCTTCCTCGCTTTCAGCAAGCAAGGTTGTGTCATCTGCATATTGCAGGTTGTCAGTAAACCTTCCTCCAATCCTGATGCCATGTTCTTGTTCATATAAACCAGCTTCTCTGATGATTTGCTCAGCATACAGATTGAATAAGTATGGTGAAAGGATACAACCCTGAAGCACATTTTTCCTGATTTTAAACCATGCAGTATGCCTTTCTTCTGCTCATACAACTGTCTCTCGATCCATGTACACGTTCTGTATGAGCACGGTGAAGTGTCCTGAAATTTCCATTCTTCTCAAGGCTATTCATAGTTTGCTCTGATCCATACAATTAAATGCCATGGCATAGTTAAGAAAACACAAGCAAAGCTTTTTCTAGTATTCTCTGCTTTGAGCCATGATCCACCTGACATCAACAATGATATCCCTTGTTCCACATCCTCTTATGAATCCAGCCTGAACCTCTCGCAACTCCCTGTCAGTGTATTTCTATAACCACCATTGGGTGATCTTCAGCAGAATTTTACTTGCAAGTGATATTAATGGGCTTTTTTTTATAATTTAAGTATTTCATTGGGTTATCTTTCTTTGGAATGGGTATAAATAGGGAACTCTTCCAGTCAGTTGGCCAAATAACTGTCTTCCACATTTCCTGGCAGATGAATAATTGCATCTAGTGCTTCATTATCTTGTTTAAACATTTCAATTCCTGTAGCCTTGTTTTTAGCTGATGCCTTCAAAGCAGCTTGAACATCTTCATTCAGTACCATTGGCTTTTTGTTCATATGCTACCTTAATAGTGGAATTCCAACTAGTTCTTTTTAGTACAGTAACGGTGTATTCTTTCCATCTTCTCGATGCTTCCTGTGTCATTCGATGTTTTGCCCATAGACTCTTTCAATATTGTAGAAGCAGGGAAAACCCATCTAGTTTTGAGGTCATAGGTCAGATCTTAAGTTGGAGGCTTATCCTGATTCTCATCATTCCAGCAGGGATACCACAGACTGCAGAGGTGGTTTCATCCAAGGTCAGCAAGTCAGGCTTGTGACTGGAGAGGCAAATGAATCCAAGTTCAGCAGGTCTGATTGCAAGCCACTAATAGCTCTTGGGATCAGTAGGTAAAGGCAGACTGTGACAGTCCGAAGAACCCAAGAGAGGTTGATGAGCTAAATGCAGTGTCTGGACCATTAAAAAAAGGAGCAAGTTTGCCATATTGTCTAATTATATAGGGAGTAGGTCATACTCCTGGGAAAACCTCCTTTCGGTTGCTTCAGGGCTGTGACTTGAGCAAAGGAGTGACACTCCATCCTAATCTTACAGCTCCTTGGCTACTCACAGAAGATCTCATCATGGAGTTGATTACATGATGTTAGGCCAAATTATAGAGGATTGGTAAGCCTGAGCTGCCAAAGCACTAAGAATTTCTGGCCCAGCCAAGTTGACACCAAACCCAACTACATCCATAAAGCAAGTTAATAAGGTCACATATTTACTTATTTTAGGCTTAGTTTTATACCAATCAACCCATAAAACATATAATAGGTTTAATATATGGTATTATAATTACAGCAATATAAAAAAAACTCAAAATTATTTCTTTTATTTCTTATTGTGTATCTCAAAATTGTTAAGTGTAAAACTTTTGTAACTTTCACCTTAGATCATTTTTAAATAGAATAATATTTATTTCCTTGCATTTTTATAATTTATTCTATATTTGATAATAAAAGCACTTTGCCTATACAATAAATAGAATATTATTATTAAGTAATCATGTATAATTAAAATAATT